AGGAGAAGACGAAGAAAATCTCCAGCAGCTTCTATTCTTCCTTCCGCATGGTGGGAGCTGTGTCTTTTAATTATCATGTCCAGTTGTACTCTTAGTAGCTCTTGTACCTGTTTCAACTAGATCTTTGAGAGTGTTAATTACTTTACAAGTCTTAACTCGAAATTGTTTAAAAGTTTTTAATAAGGAATTTCGTTAGTATGTTATTTCCGTTTATTTAATTTTCCGCATGTTTTAAATTGTTGGGTTATGAGGATTCTCCTACTTAGGTGATAGTATATAGGTGCCCGCACGGCCTGGTTGGTTGGATCGTGACAAAATTCCAGCTAACTCCCACACTAAATTGAATAACTGTTATTTCTTTTTGTCCAAAAAGACTCTTAAAATATGTCTGAAATAATTAAATAAATAATCATATATAAAAACAAAATGGTGCATTATTTTTTAAATTCTAAGAATTTATTATTTTATTTTATTTTAAAAAAAAGATCAAATGTTTCTCTGTCGGCTGATAGATTGTTAGCCACATCTATTTAAAATCATCTCAAAAGTCTTTATCTTTACTAAAAATCTAGCTTATTAGAAAAAGAAAAAAATAGAAAAAAGCTGTTTAATATTTGAACTGAAAAATGTATGGGAATTAATTGTTCAAGAAAACTTAAATTTTTAAAAATAATTATTCATTCTTCTCTTCAATTCGTTCATTTCTTTTACATGTCGGGATTGCACGAAAAATTCTATGTACATCACTAAACATGTTATGATTTTATTTTTAAGGTTATTATATCAATTTTTTATATGATTACCTGTACTTAAAAAATAGCTAACGACAAGTGATAAAGTCAAGTTCAAAAGTAATTTCTTCGTTAAAAAAGAAATATTCTTTTACTTAGGCATGCAAGGGAGGATCTAGGTGGCGTGAGAGCGGATTCTCAAGAACTTATAGTAACTTTTGCGCAAATTTTACATTTATATTGAAAAATCTATTTTATATAAGAGATATTTATAGAGAATCTAGTAATAAAATATAGTATTTTGATTTAGTGTTAGAAACTTAGAATTAGAACCTGCTTAACCTTATTACTCTCCTTAATGAAGATTTGATTCTTCTTGGACGATAATAATAATATCTAGTGAAATTTCGCTAATTATTGGAGTCTGTACGCAGACTTTGTAATTACTAGCTCGTGAAAGTAGAGTGACTCAATTCCTCTTAAACACATATAATAATGAAGGTTTTATTCAAAAAGAATTAAAATCATTAAAATTCATAAACTTCGAATCTTGAATTTACTTCCGTACTTGCTTGACATTCACATTAACAAGTCAATATAATTGCCGCCAAGCAAAACGACGACGGAGCGGCTACGTAACCTAACGGAATTGCCTCATTTCTCCATTAATTCCGGCCAATACAAGAATTAGGTGAAAAGTAATTTATAATATAAAATTACAGTTACCCCTAAATTCTTTTTATTCAAAGGTCAAACAACATAACACCGACCGACACCAATATCGAGGCATATACATGTTACTTAACGTAAAGTTTTTCGGAAATAACTTTTCTAAGAGTTAGTCCGTTCGTTTTGGTTTTAAAGTTAATCGGCTGAGCTTATCGGTTTGAAGTTAACCTCTATAGAATCTTTAAGATATTGATTTAACGATTATTGATCTTTATCAGTTTAACCATTAAAATTTTATTTTAAAAAAATCAAGAAAAATCACTTAGTAAAATAAATGTGACAAATCAAATGAACTATGCACATGATGACATGATCAATAGCCAGAATACATCTTTGCTCAAAAGCAAATACTGTCGTATTATAGAATAATCGAAAGTTTGAGACAACCTAAAATAAAAGTATGAAATTAAACTCCAAGTCAAAGACTTTATGTACTAAATGGTATAAATATAATTATTTAATTTACTATCGCGTTCAATGGCGGAGCCACCTTACATTTAGGGGGTTCATCCGAACCCCCTTCGGCAAATTTTTTTATTATTTATACATGGTTAAAATAATTTTATAGGTATATGTAGTAGATGTCGAATCCCCTTCACTGCTTCGTGTATTTATTTTTTTCATATTTTGAATCCCTTTATTGAAAATCCTGGATTCGCCACTGATCACATTGTCGATTAACCTATTAAAAAAAAAACTTTAAATCGTTAATTAAGAATCAATAACCCAATAATAAAAAAATTTAAAATCATTATCGAAATTGCTAAACCGATAAAATAATGTGAAGATTGTGGAAGAGTGAAGAGAGACAAGATGGGATGGTTGGATGTTTTTGTGCTACCAAAAGAACCAACAAAGCTCGTGAGTCGTCGGTGTCCACGTGGCCATATATCTTCCACGTCACCATTATGGGTCCCAGAAAATGACAGCCACGTGGACCGGTTCGTCTACCGTGTCAAACTGCCTACACGACAAGAACGTCCACGTCTGCAATTACTACCACTGCTAAACCCACCCACCCCCGATGACGTGGCAATTATCCAATATTTTATTGTTCCAACTGCCACCTAGTACCCGAGTTACTGAAATATATCCCTATTAAGATAGAACAATTTTACTTATCGATGTATTGATATCTAAAATCACAGTGTCAACCACTCAACGATAGTAAAGTACACTAACTTTTTTTGTGTAGAAAAAGAAGAAGTTCGAAAAATTTGTTGTTGAACAAGTGCTTATTGTGTCTTATCAAAAAGGTCACAATCTTTCGAAAAAGTCACAACTTTTCAGGAAAATCACAATCATTTGGACAAATCACAACCTTTCGAAAAATTCACAACCCTTTAAAAAATCAACACACTTCAAAAAAAATCTCAAACAATTTTCTCTCATTTTCTTTCCTTTAATTTGTGCTATTTATTATGCATGCCTTCTAACAAGTAACAAATATGATCATTATATTATCTAAACTCGAATGACCGTACACATTTACCATAACATTCATATCATATCAGTAAATAATGTGTTTTTGGTAGTTTGAATTTTTAACGGTCCAACATTGACTCTAGTGAAGATCATTTATTAGTGAAGAAAGAAAGAAGTCAAGGATATTTGCAAAAAGATGCAAGTGATCTAGTCCAATTTATTTAATTTATTAGGATGTCCACTTGATATGTTCCTTTCCTTGCAGGTTATGATACACAAAATAATTATGAACTTAACTATATACATACATGATATATGAATGATCTAACTAGTCATGGAAAATGGCAAAGTAGTGAAAGGCCAAAAACGAAGTATGTTTTGTTTTACTAATACAAGTTATCTAATTTTATGTATAGGCAAATGATCCATCATATGGATGGGCTTCATCTTAGTCTTGACACATCATGTAGCAATTGAATGATTGATCCACCCAATTATCTTTGTAAATTCTTTTGTGATCCAAAATTAGTCATCTAACAAGTAGTAAGTTCGTTTCAATTTATTTATCTTGCGTTTTTTATTAGTTTATTTAAATAAGAATGTTTTTTTTAATAACTATTTAATTTTTACTTTCCAAACCCCACTTAGTGGGATTTCACTGGGTATGTTGTTGTTGTTGTTGTTAATTTTTACTTTCAACTTAACTTGTTTAGACTACATGATTGAAAGACATTGTGATTCAAAAGAGTTCTTTACTTTTTAAAACTTCATGCATGCGAATTGTCAGAGGACTAATTAAGCTAGCATTTGGCCATAAATTTAATTTGGATTAGATTTGAAAATGTATCTTCAAATATCTGTTTGATTGTGATATTTGATTAGAAATACTTTCAAGTTTCCAACAACAAACTTAGATCAACTTTTGGGACTTTCACTCATAAAACTTTAATTTTTTTTCTAAGTAAAATGCAGATTCAAACACAACTTCAAAAATTTAAATTTTCAAGTTTTAAATTCCAATATAAAAAATATCAGTATTTCATATCAGAATAAAGAATATATATATATATATATATATATATATATATATATATTTTATTTTTTTTTCTTATTTTTTTAATTTAATTTTATTTTATTTAAAAAAAAAAATAAGAAATAGGAAAACATCAAAAGGTGTAGGGTTTAAGTTACAAACCATACGACTTCAATGTAATTTTTTTTTTACACTATCAAAGTATCCAAATTATATTTACAGATAATTTTTCTTGAAATATGAGATTTATAGGAGTAATAAATAAGATAAATTACCTGCTATAATAGAGAAAAGTAATCTGGGTAATGTTAAATGGCCAGAAAATTTGGCCAGAAATTTAAAAAGCCTATAACATTCTTTTTATTTTGAAATAAACTGATCTTTTTTCCATTTATTAATTAAAAGGTATTAAATTTAAAAGGGTAAAAATATTCAAAAAGGTAAAATAACGTAGTGTGAAATATGTTATTTTATTATTCTAGCCAAATTCTGGCCAAAAGAATTTTTCCAAATAATCTAGGATAATTTATTTTTCTCAAAAAGTAAATAACTTATTAAACTCAAAGGTAATACATATATATGGAAGGAATTCTAAATTTTCTTGGATTTTGGGTTACCTAGCCAGCAAGCAAGAGACAACCTACCCTTAAAAATGTGTGTATAGTTATGGACATATTATATTAAAAAAAAAAATAATCACTTTTTGCACTTTCTTCCATTTCCAAAGTGTCTACAATTGCTAGAATATTGTTTCTTTTGGGGAGTTTACTATTATGCAATTTTTTCAAGAACATACTCTTTTTTTTTCTTCTTTTTTACATGAAGACAATCTTGTCCCCTCATAACAATGACCTCAAAAGCATGTTAAGCTTTATCAAGACCCTCTTATTCATTCTTAGTGCCCACATATGCACTAAAGAAACAAAACATTAGTAAAATTCAAAGTATATCAATTTAATCCCATGTCCCCAAAAAAATATTTGTGGTCCCTATACCATTTGCTATACCTTTTCTCTTTACATATGTTTTGTGTATAAATATAATGAACCAAGAATCCATTTTTGTATATCACTTGTGTTATTCATATAACTTGAAAGTGGAATAAGAAGAAACAAAAAGAAGTTAAGCTTTACTTCTTCTATTCTTCCCAACTTTTAGACAATTCCAATTTTGTCAAAGTTCTTTTTGTTCATTTCTCTCATACATATAACAACTCTAAGCAATCTCTTTAACTTTTAGCCTTTTTTCTTTGAGATAATGAAGCAAGTTCTTCTACTTTCTCTTTTGCTTTTATCTACTTTGGTCTATGAAGCACAAGCAAGGAATATTCCCATGTTAAAGGTGAGAATTATATTCAAAGTACTAAAAAACTTGAATTTTGTTTTCCTAATTTTGAAATTCAAAGTGCTAAAAGCTTAATAATGGTTATTTTTAGCAGGAAAATGGATATGTTGGAGAGGTCAATATTATTTGCAAAGATGACCATTGTTCATCATCAGGTACTACAATGAAGAGAAGACTTTCTAAATTAGCCAAAAAAAGTCATCATTGGTTACCAAATATCCATGAAGATTATTATGGTCCTAGAGGACATAGGCCTAGACACCATTAATCAGAATGATCAGTGTTCACACTTACCCTTTAGCATGACTCGCACCTTTAATCTCTGACATTTTTAACATGCTGATGAATTATTTACCTTGTTAGTAATATTAATGACTAGTACTCAACTTAATTAATTAAATGCTCAATTTTAGTTTGTTTATTCATCAAGTGGTTATTCTTGTAATGTTTGCAGGAAGAAATAGGAAACTTATGACAAAAACAACCTCTACTTCTAGTCCAATTACCACAACTACTTCAACAAAGGTTGGTTAATTTTCACGAAAAGAAAAAAAAGTTTTTAAAATAATAGTTTATTTTTCAAATTACTTATATAGTTTATTTTACATATATTTACAGAATATCAAGAATGAAGGAAATAAAGCTCATTACACCACAATTTTGAAAGGCCAATCAAGTAGTGAAAATTTCTCAATCAATTCATCACCGGAAACCGGTCACCGGAAAACATCCTCCGATCACCACCCCGATGTGCTAGACTTGGCCGGAATGGATTATTCTCCGGCGAAGAGAAAACCTCCAATTCACAACTAGGAGAAAATATTATATGAAGAAGATATTGGAAAATATTTGTAGTAGAAAAAAAAATATTTGTAGTAAATTGAAAAAAAATATTTGTAGCACTTAAATTAGAAAAGAACCCTTTAATTAGGGAAAAAAAATTACTATATAAGAGTAGTGGAGACATCATAAGATATGATGCCCTTCTTTTAGGGTTAGGAAAGTTTTGTACATAAAATATTGTCATATATATTAATTAATCAATATATATAATTATTAGTTGATGATTGAGTCATAATTACTTTTATGTATGGCTAGTTAATTAGCCTTATAAAATATTGCTCGCAAAGTGCCAATTATAACTACGCATTACTATATATCTTTTAACAAATTATCTTGAGCTAAGTTTTAATAGATTCCGACCTCTATGTTTCTCGATATAGTCTTATTAGAGGGCAATATGATACTTTAGTTCGGTAATAACTTTATATGAAACTAAGTTTATGTGTCAGAGAATTATAAAAAGATTCATGATTTAAGATCCGTAGGTAAACGAAGATTCACTCATTCTTTAAGATGATAAAACTCCCATCAAAATATCAGGAATCAAAACAAAACAATGGCTACTTTTGAAATTTATATAATAATATGCATTAGCAGTGACAAAGTCTGAATTTTTGTTAAGAGGTTTAAAAAAATGAAAAATAAACACACGAACTGATCGAAGGGGGTTCAACATTTACTATATACATAAAAATAATAATTTTAATCATGTATAAATAGTGTAATTTTTCGTCAAATGAGAGTTTAAATAAACCCTCTAACCCCAAGCTGGCTCCACCCTTGAGCTTTATGAATCTAAACTGAAAAGGAGTCAAGCATGGCGATCTCAAAGTTCTTGATATGTGAAGATGAGTATTTAGATAGAGTCGTATATATTATTTTTTCATTGAGTATGTACATACCATAATTATGTAAATTTTAACTAATATAGTAGGTTATTTATTAAGTATTTGCTTATGTGATAGTGTAGAAGAGTTCTTTTTTAACTCCTCCCTAACGTACTTTACAATCTTAGAGTTGAAAGTGAAAAATGCTTATCATCTGATCAAGCAACTCTATCGTTTTCTTTTGTTTTTATTGAAAAATGGGAAACTAATGATGGCAAAATGTACAACAAGCATTTAGGTACACATTAAAAACTAGAGGATTTTGAAAAGAATGAAGTAGGTTTATGGATCTTTGCATTATGTGATGATGTTTTTTTGGGCCCAATAGATTGGTTTTAGACTATGATCAAAATGTATTTTCTCCCATTAAATGCAATAACGTGAGAAGAATGGTATGCCTGACAATGTAGGTCAATATGTTTTTTGTTAGGTCAAATAGTTTTGGGCCCAAAAGATTGGAAGATATATTTGCAATTTGGATCACAAAAATTCAAAATGTACATTACTGACTAAAAAACGTAGAAATGTCACCAAGGTAACCACTTTTAGGATTGTAGTTTATGTATAATCTAATTGTTACTTAGTTATCGATTAACAATTATTTGTGATGGGCTACTAAATGAACATCAACTCATGAGATATCTTGATGGAATCACAACTACTCCATCACCTACTATTAGCCAAAATTGATTTTATTGTACCAAGTTTTATTGTACCAAGTTCTGATCGTCATATTTGGTTCTTTCAAAATCAATTGATCCAACAAGCAATGATGACATCAAGTGATCTTACCATTGCTCCACTTATTTTCTAGAAAAATAAGTGGATATCTTACTTATTTTCTCTTGTTTGACACGTAAGTAAAAAATATTATTCTAAAAATATTTGTATATAATTGAGACAAATACAATGAGAGATGGGGGTATAGATCGTGATGGAGATAGGGGCTTTGGGAGGGGGGAGGAGGAGGTTGGAGGGTGGAAGGATACAGACAATGTAAAATATTATTTGTAGAACTTGTTTTTCTACTTTTATTGGAGAAGTCATTTTTCTCATTTTTAACGAACTTATTTTCCTACAAATATTTGTAAAAGTATTTTAACAAATCAAACATGAAAAAATCTGAAATTTCTTCCATACCTACCACACCCTTAAGGGAAGTAAAATTATGCACACCTACTCAAATAGTATGGCTAGGCAAATAGCTTGTGTCTGCAATGTAAAAGCATCTTCAAAGCTTATATTTATCATGCAAAGAATAATTAGGGTAGAAGTTTAATTTATTTTCTGATCAACAAGCTGTGTTGTATCTTAGTTGAGACACTTATTTACTTATTGGTGATATTCTTGTTGGGTATTTGCCTTGAGTTGTTTACCATAATTAATAGGTTTTTTGTTTTCCTTAACTCTCTATATTTGGCTAATCCTTTTCTTGTAGAAAAAAGGTTAGAACTCTATAAATAAAAACTCGTTCCTTCAAACTTAATCAACATTCACAATGTAGTCCTAGGGGTTTTAAGAGTTTTGGTTAGGGGGAGAATTTGGGGGACACAAGTGATATGTTATCACTTGTGTGAACCTCGCTGTATTTCGAGTGAATTGGTTGAAGTTATTTCTCTCTATATTTGTACTCTCATGTGTATATAGTGGATTGCTCATCGCCTTTGTGATCGTAGGTCGATTGACCAAACCACGTTAAATCTTTGCATCTTATGGTATATTTCTCGTTTGTCTTCTTACTCATGGCCTTCCAAAATTTGTTTTCTTAGCTTCCGCATGACACCTAATAATTTCAGTCCTAACAATTCTTTTATTTAAGATTTCTATTATGTGTCCGATATCTGCATTGAGATTCGACTAAATTCAGATTCGCGTCGGAAAGTAATATAAAACGAAATACAAAATAGAAAGATTCAATAGATAATCCAGAAATTGAGAGGAGATAGAGAAGAAAGAAAAAACAATTCCATAATTGAATTAAATTAGAAACCAACAAATACAGATTTGTAATTCTCTAATTTGAACACACAACCACAAGATTTAATTCAAGGGAGATGAGAATTGAACTCATACATAAATAATTTTATCAGAAAATATTAAAAAAAGATCCAAAATAGAGACAAACAGATACAGCCCACAAAACTCATCAAAAGTGCTTCTTTTTTCGTATTCTATTTATACTACAAAGGAAAATGTTAACTAAGAAAAAAACAAAACATAAATGTCTCTAATTGTATGTTGGTCATATATACTATGATCAAAAGGATAATAAAATATAATGTTAATCTTTCTTATAGTGTCTTTTTTTTCGGTTTCAAACTCTCTTAAAACACTTTAAACCTTGATGTCAAGTAGAAATCCTTTCATGCAATGAGTTCCTCCCCAACTTGCATCACGAAATCCCACATTAGGGAGTTAAAGTGCTTCTTAACAAAAACGTCTTCGTACTCAAAAGAACTCTAACCAGAATGTATAACACACATAATACGATGATCTTTTATTTAATTTGATTATTACGTATTACACCCTGATAACATATTTTTATCAAATCAACAAGCATAGTCGATTTCTTATTAGCCACAAAGCATATATCTCTCACATATATACTTTTTTCTTCTTTGTGAATTACACTTTGGTCACTTAGGACTAAAAGTCGAAAAGAAGAACAACACTTAAGACAATAATATTCTACAGATTTTGAACTCCCTTATTGAAAATCCTGGCGCTGCCAGGGACCACATGTCCCCGCGGCCCTCCGACAGCTTGACAGAACAAGGCACCAGAGCAATCATCGTGTGTTTTACAGGGTTTATTACAAATTGGATCTTCATTTACCATTGCTAGAACAACACCTTGGGCCATCACATGAATTTTCGTGGAGTAGAATGAATTGTCATGAGCTGCAAAATTCAAAACTATATTTTGTAAAGCTAACGTATTAAACTTTAGTTGTTATGTTTTTCTTTACTGTCGTTTTTCTGTTTTGTTACTTTTTTGTCTTGCTTCACTTGAGTCGAGGGTCTTTCAGAAACAACTTTTTTTATTTCAACAAAGTAGGGATAAGTTATGTATACACTCTCCGGTCCTCAATCCTTACTTTATAGGATTTTGACTAAATATATTATTATTATTATTATTATTATTATTATTATTATTATTTTAAATTCGCTCTTGAGATCCAAGTTTTTCATATACCAATGGAGATCAGATCGATATTGTGATAGTAGTGTTGTTAATGGTGGACAGGTTGGGGTTGGGTCGTGAGGTGACATGTCATATAGTCTTCATCTTATTAACATGAATTTGAACGTCTATTTTGGATAACTATAACAAAAGAAGGTATATTATTTAGTAGAAATAATAATAACTCGCCACTTTTGACCTTGTTTTTGAAAAAATAACTATTATTATAGAATATCAAATTCCACAAAGTTTCACTTGTGAAATTTGAAACTTCATATAATAACTATTTTTCAATTACAAGGTCTAAAAATAGCTATTTGATCATTTTCCATTCTAAAACATTTGAGTAAGATGAAATGACTTACCAGCAATAACCACAAGGAGAAAGGTGAAAAGGATAGTAAGTTTTTGTGCCATGGTAATAATAAAAATAATGTGGGTGGCTTTTCATTCCTCCACCAACAATAGTATTTATAGCCTTATTAGGAGACTAGTTTGGTCATTTTTGAGAATCAAAATGTCTCACCACATAATTTTTTTTATTTTTTGTTGTTGATAATTTTGCAAAATACTATTATACACATCATTGATGATTACGATATTTAAATTTGGATTTGATTATTGAAATTTTATCTCTAGGTGCTTGATTACTATGAGAAAATTATCTTTGCTTTCTCAGTATCTAAATATACATAATTTATCTTTATTTTAAAAGTAATAATTGAAATTCAAACAACATAAAAACTAAATATCATTAGCATAAAATAATTTGCATGTGTTGTAAAAATTATTTATCCGATGAACCATGCGTTGGAAGTTAGTATCAATATTAATTGACAGTAGTGATCGATAGTGATGTGATGGCCAATGGCAATCACGGTTGGCGAAGATGGCTAGTAATAAGAATTGTA